CGAAATCCAAACAATTTTATGCTTTAATTTCATCACCCGGTGACTAAAAATGATAGGAGTAAAAGAAAACGAAAGTCAAAGTACATTTCTATAGTTTTGGTCTCTAATCCTAGCATAGTAAGTCTATTGTGATGTTTTAAGCCCTTTTGAACCTCATAATAATTGTTAGTCAATCTGTTAAATAAAAGGACAGATTTTTCTGTCAATTTGTAAAATCATGAAATATTTAGATATTTATACACATTGACTGTAACATATACACGCCTACAAAAGAAAAGGTTTGTGAAAATAACGTCTGTCTCTCATGGAAGAACCTCCCAACGAAAACGTAGAGGAACAAGAATGATATCTGTTCAATGCTACAGCAAATGAATGAAAACAAAATGCAAATATCATAATTACAACCTACTAAAGTAGTATGTATAATATCAAGGATAATTGTTCAAGGAATGTATCAGTGAATATCCACCTAAAGGAACAATATCCCATACATCTGTAGCTGTACACAGAAACTTATCCAATGTCACTTGTCAAATATTTTAAAATATATATAGCATTTCTGGATATTATGACCTGTGTTCCTTTTTCAACTGATCACTAAGTTTGTTTCAGGTGTTTCATATAGGAATCAAGTCTCAATGGTCGGCTGAGAAAGCCCATGTGACAACTATTTTCATAATGTCCACGGTTCTTAAAAAAATCCATTGAGTTAGATAACAATGAGCAATCAATCAACGTATTATCGGTTAATCCTTTGAACAAAGTATGTTGTTCTTACACCGGCACTTCACGCCATGATATGAGTGTATTTCGTCTGCTATAGTAAACCTACACATGTAAACACTTACTTTTGACAAATCCACTGTGCAAGATAACAGCGATTAATCAATGAACATATTTTCTGTTGATCCTTTGATAGCGAGAAAAGAGCAGTTGATTTACAAAAAAGTAAATCAACTGATCACTCCCCTTGCTGGGCTGCCACGTGCAGATGACATAACACACATTTCACCTCTCTTCAAACATGGATTTAGATTAAATAATTACCCAAGACACAAGAAATGCCAAATGCGAACACGTTAGGTAATCTGAGTGGAGCTACCACAAATTATACCTGTAATAAATTCATTAACTGAGCATCAAGTGAATGACGACAAAAAGACACGGGTGTAGGGTATACCAGAAAACATGGATGACAACAAGGGAGTAGCAATCGTATTATCCAAAAATGTTTTCATTGCAGGGATACTTTATAAAAATTAAACTATAACCATCTGGGGTATTTCCAAATAACAACATCCAATGAGCTTCCACGTTCTTTTTGTCTGTTTGTTTAGGCCGAAGAATTAATTAACTTGCGCCTTTTGTCGAAATCTTCATAGATCACAGGTAACCAATCAGTGTTAAAAAATATATAAAACAGACATTGCCTCAAAGTTTATTTAGCTGCCCTTACAGACGGTAGCCCAGTCTCTTGTCACGCTCAGTTGCGTTAGTGAGCAAATCGGCTCACAGCAGCTAGTGAGCCCTAGCGGGCAGTGTTAGACAGCCGAGAAGAAGCCAGAGATTAGTGCCCCTTTAATTACGAGCGTCAGACTGGGTAACAAGTACCATCTTTTAACATCAGGAATATGGAGAAATTACTGGGATGCCATATTCGACGTAATAAGCGCCCCGCAATAATAAGCGCCCACGGCAATATTTGCTGATATGTTGGCTAGTGAACAATCCAAATTAGCACCCCTTCCAATTGATTAATGTACACAAGACATATCTATTCGCATAAAATACGCAATCGTGTGTTATATATGCACCCTTAATTATGGGCAATTAAATTCTGGAAAAATATATCTGTCGTATATTAACATTTCAGGCTGTCAACATAAACCACGAAATTTATTTTTCAACTATTTTTTTTTTTACAAAAGTAATTTTCAAATAAGAGCCCCCTATTTCAAATTTTGAGAGTGCCCTAGGCGCTTATTACGTCGAATACGTTATTTGTAATAATTAGCAAAACTATATTAGTCTAACACACTGACAATCAGTGTCTAACTAGGATGAAGATTCAGTGCGCATACGATTTTTATGAACTTGGTTATTTCTAACTCTGTGGTTAATAAACGCTAACCCTGTTGTTAATAAACGCTAACCCTGTGGTTAATAAACGCTTACCCTGTGGTTAATAAACGCTGACCCTATGTTTAATAAACGCTAACCCTGTGGTTAATAAACGCTAACCCTATGGTAAATAAACGCTAACCCTGTGGTTAATAAACGCTAACCCTATGTTTAATAAAGGCTAACCCTGTGGTTAATAAACGCTAACCCTGTGGTTAATAAACGCTAACCCTATGTCTAATAAACGCTAACCCTGTGGTTAATAAACCCTAACCCTGTGGTTAATAAACGCTAACCCTATGGTAAATAAACACTAACCCTGTGGTTAATAAACGCTAACCCTATGGTTAATAAACGCTAACCATGTGGTTAATAAACGCTAACCCTGTGGTAATAAACGCTAATCCTATGGTTAATAAACGCAAGAAGACATGGAGTATGATGTAACTTTAGGGCTTAGTAGGGTGCTTATGAAGATTACTGGCAGACAGGTCTCGAGACTGGCCATGGGCCGTTATTGGATCAGGGCTTAATACAGTGAATGTTACCTGCCCTTGCCTCACCCAGTACCAGCTAGCTAGTATAGACTATTATTTAGTGCCAGCTCTACACAGCTCGGAGCCAGGTTACGTGTCTAATCCAATTAGTGTTCAAGTGCAACTTATTTCCATTTCCCATACTGATAGTCTACCTCGCCATTGATTTCCTTGTTATAGATTATCTCACTGCCGCTGTCATTCCAAACCCTTAGCCAGCTGGCTGCTTTCTGAGGGCATCGGAGTTTTAGATAAACTGTGTATATACCTATATATATATATCATTATGTATAAAATACTCTAAAAAATTTAAATTTCTTGCACACAAATATGCATGTAAAATATTTAAGAGGCCAGTTGTATAACATTGGTCATTACCTAGATTTACATAGATACATTTAGTCTATGAAATCTTATATTACACAATTCACTTCTCTCCTCTAAGGGGTGGTCGGGTAGCCTAGTGGTTAAAGCGTTTGCTTGTCACGCCGAAGACCCAGGTTCGATTCCCGACATGGGTACAATGTGTGAAGCCCATTTCTGGTGTCCCCCGCCGTGACATTGCTGGAATATTGCTAAAAGTGGCCTAAAAACATTCTCACTCTCTCCTCTACAATTAAAACAAATAACTTTGCAGATGCTGATTTCATATGTGGAATAGAGCTTGCTAGAGCTGGCTAGACTTGCTTTTGTGTGTATATATATCTAGATTGGTTTTGTTTTCATAAACTAAATATGATCAACAGTCATGGTGCAGGGCTAGTCATTACCCAAAGTGGCCTTTTCAACTTTCTTACCGGATTTTCACAGATTTTTTGATTGAATAAAGGCATCACAGGTACAATGACTAGATCTATTCCATTAATTATTTATTGTTTAAGGACTACCGTAATCGACGTAATAAGCGCCCTGCTCTAATAAGCGCCCACGGCGATATTTGCTTATATATTGGCCAGTGAACAATCCCAATTAGCACCCCTTCCGATTTATCAATGTGACTTATTTATTCATGTATAATACGCGCTTGTGTGTTATATGCACCCTTAAATATGGGCATTTAATTCTGGGAAAATATATCTGTCATGCATAAACATTTCAGGCTGCCAGCATAAACCACAAAATTTATCTTTCAACTTTTTTCACCAAAATAATATTCAAATAAGAGCTCCCTATTTCTAATTTTGAGAGCGCCCTGGGCGCTTATTACGTCGAATACCGTATTCCATTTATTATTTAAGGCCTAGTTATATTTTATTATTTAAAATTATTTGCGATATTTGGGAATCCTGATCCATCTTTTAAAATTCTTTTCAGGGGGCCCTGTATGATGTTTTTCTTGTTTGACACTTAAGTAGGAAATACCAGTGACTCCTGTAACTAATGGTGTCTGGCCAGACAAACCAGTGATTGATATTATGAGCAATGTCGGGGTACGATGACATACACTAAACCAATTAAGTCACCAAGCCTGACAACCTGATTGATTTTCATAGACTCCAACAACAAATGACAAGCAGAGGTTATTCACTGGAATCAACATTGGTGAATGTGGAAAGTTTTATGTCGCTTTTAGCAATATTCCTGCAATAGACCTTGGAGGCACCAGAAATGGGCTTCACACAATGTACCCATGTGGGGAATCGAAACCAGGTCTTCGGCGTGACAAGCAAATGGTTTACCACTAGGCTACCCCACCGGCCCCTTCATGGGTGTTTGAAGAGATGGAACAGGAACATATATATCAACAGTAACCGCAGATGGATATATAATGTCACTCGAAGTTAATAGGTCAATCAGAGCATATCTCATATCCTAAATGTTGTATGACAAAAACTAGATTGCCGCATATTTCAATTGGGAAACATGTCTTAGCGAGGCAGTCACTTAACCCATTTCCCATGTCATTAAGAAACTAACTTTTCGATAAACATGCGTTTACTTCCAAAAAATAATATTTTCAACTTCAAGTGAACGACACAATCAAGAGCTCTAAACAAGCATCACAGAAAATATCGGATAACTTTCATCATATCATAAATTAAAAAAGTACGCTATATTATTTTGCCACTTCGATTATATATGTAGATTTGTGATTGACTCCGACCTGATCGAGCAGGTCTTCGTTCGTGTTGACACGTACGAGCATTGTAACACTATGACCACAAACAAAAATAGACAGATTCTTCCGTCCGAGTCAGTAAAAATTCTCTCAGTTATGAGAGTAAACTCAAACGCTAGTGTTCACCACTGATTGACTGATCTCTCTGCTTTCTCTTACTATGAGTGCTCTTGTCAAAGATTAATCACCGAAAACAATGGCAGACGTGTTGACACAATACTCACAGAGTCGTTAATCCTTTGAAACGTAATCAACCCATAAGCGCCAATCAGCTGTTAATTAAGCTGAGAAGTTGTGTTGATCTTTCGAAGTACTTAACAAGTGCGCTGAGGTTTAAAACTACTAATCTATACACTACTTCACACTTCAAATAACAAAACGCCCCCAGTATCAATTTACTCACGTTATTTTCATTGTAATCATAAGAAAATATCCATTCTTAAATAATACAATGTTTTTCTGTGTGTCTACCTCAGCGTTTTGTCTGTAAATGTAAGGAAAATTAAAATAAAATAATATATATAAAGGGTGTTGAGTAGAAACTAGTATTGGAATGCCTCATTTCCGGGATTGATAGTTTGATCACGTGGTTTTGTTGCCAAACAACGCACGCGGTGCACTGAAGAGAAGTGTAATTGCATCTGTCGGGAAGTGTCCGACAGCCTTTCTGAAAAGAAATATCGAGATTTATTGCGGTAGTTGGACAGATTTGATTGTATCCATATATTCTATGTAAATCGAATGAAAGCAGGAGTTGAGATCTCGCGGACCACTCATGCAGAGGCCATTGAATGCAGGTTCTCGCGGAGAGATAGGATCAGATCGTTGAGCAAACCTCTCGACCTCGCTGCGCTGGACGTTGTTTAATTCGAGTTTATATCAGATTTACAAAATATTTAAGTCTAAACGTAAATTTGTAATGCTAGATAGATCTAGATCTTAAAGAGAATTTATCCACAAGAATATGAGAGAATATTTCTTCAAATTACAGAATGAAGTACAGTAATTTTATGTACGGATAGAACGAACTCAAAGGGACCACTAATTTTAGTTCGTTATATAACCTTAGTTCGTTATAAGCATATTATATACAGCATAACTACAGCAAATAGTCGGGACTAAAAAGTAAGTTCGCTATATCCGTCAGTTCGTTATAAGCGTGTTCGTTATAAACGTAGTTTACTGTAGTATACGTTTTGATTGACAAAATATATGTTGGTTATTTATTCATTTAAAACATCATGTAATGGGAGAGATATTGTTTATTTATGTCTCACATTCTGTAAAAATCATCGATCAGATTACATATTCTTTTTGAAATAATGCAGTGAAAAGGAAATAAAATATAGAAAGCTGAAAAGGCCACACTGGGTGATAACCATGCACGTACTGTTATACTACTGGTTTTTCAAAATTACTCATACATTATAATTTGTACACAAGCAGCTCATAATTAATTGATAATGACAAAATTGTTTGAGTATTTTATCCACAGTTTATCGTTCTGAAGCTCTACCCTCAGAAAGCCGCCAGCTGGCTAAGGGTTTGGATTGACAGCGGCAGTGAGATAATCTATAACCAAGAAATCAATGGCGAGGTAGACTATCAGTATGGGAGATGGAAATACGTTGCACTTGAACACTAATTGGATTAGGCACGTAACCTGGCTCTGATCGAGCTGTGTGGCGCTACCACTTGTCTGGGGGCTAGATGAGACAATGCCATGTGCAGGTAAAATTTACTGTACTGGGAAAAGGAACTGGCTAAGCTAGCCAAAGTTGTGTTTTTATTGCAGCTTAAATTTACCGGGCCGGACTGTGCATACACGTACATATAATGGCTGTTGATCATGAATGCCTAGGGGTTTTAAAAGAAATATAACGTTACAATAGATCCTGGGTAGAATAGGTCTTCAGCAACCCATGCTTGTCGTAAGAGGCGATGAACAGGATCGGGTGGTCAGGTTCACTGACTTGGTTGATGCACGTCGTCGTATCCCAATTGGACAGTTGGACCGTTGTTTGGTATTAAATTCATACGTTTCAACTGTTGACGTGTTTGAAGTATTATTCCGTTAAAATCAATTGGACTATGCCGTGGATCGTGTAGGTGTCAGCCAACTCATACTCAACAGTATAATTCTAAAAACGTTATAAATGGCAAGTAATAAATAATATACTAAACTCGCTCCCGTGTAAAGCAAATTTTATGAAACTCGTGAATAGTTGTGGTATCTGGTTAAAGCATGTCATCGATCCCAATTGCGGGGACCGATGCTCATGATGCCAATCACTGGATTGTCTGGTCCAGACTCGATTATTTACATACCGACCCCAAATAGCTAGAATATTGCTGAGTGCGGCGTTAAACAACAAAGAAACAAACAGAAACGTCATTCGTCTGATCAATGTTTTATCATAACAAATTCCTTAACAAAACCCATAGCGTTCTAAAGGAGTGAGTGAGTGAGTTGGGTTTAACGCCTCTTTTAACAGTATTACAGTTATATCACGGCGTGTCAGCTTAATGTGGGAGGAAAGCCCGAAGTGATGCAGGTCTCAGACGTTTACCACTTTGGTGAAACCCACGAGCACGGGTGTGGTGCTGACAAATCTAGAAACATAATCGGGGCGAACCGGGATTCGAACCCACAATCATAGGTTTCTGGCGTGCCCAAGGGACGCAACTCTGCACAGCGAATCGCGGCGCCTTAGACGACTGGGCCACCCGTTCACCCTTCTCATGTCGGAAAAAACGAAACTGAGAAAATAACCTTTACAAAGCAAAGAATGAACCCTGTCAATGCGTCACTTGAAACGCAGCATAACATAATGATATAGATAACCAAGGTATACAAAACAATGAAGCATTTATGCACTGGCAACAAAATTATCGGGACAAGGACATTGATCACGTGTTTGAATGCCATTTAGAAGTGATACACATTAGGATGAGAATTTATTGAAATCAACTTCTTTATTATGAGGAACACAACGTTTCAGGGTATAAACTTACTCCTCCATCACTTTTCCTTAAGGAGACTGATGATCAAAAACAGTTACTACAAGTGCATGGGGTACAATTATCAAGACGTAATTATTGATTGAAAATTTGTATGAATAACAGAAACTAACAAATGGAATAGTGTCACGTTCCATTCATTCACCCATTTGATGTGTGAAATTACACTGGCTTTTTTCAGTTATTGGCAGGACCCGTGAAGATCCGGGTAGAATAGGCCTTCCGCAACCCATGCTTGCCGTAAAAGGCGACTATGCTTGTCGTAAGAGGCGACTGACGGGATCGGGTGGTCAGGCTCGCTGACTTGGTTGATGCATGGCATCATATTCAAATTGCGTGGATCATGATGTCAATCACTGGATTGTCTGGTCCAGACTCGATTATTTACAGACCGCCATCATACAGCTGGAATATTGCTGAGTGCGGCGTTAAACAACAAACAAACAAAAACATTAATAGGCAGTGTCTGTATATAGCATTGATTTGCTGTTCCCTGCTGTTGGGGAGTTACCTCTCGTGGAGCCGTGCTATGAATGGACAAGCCGTTTTCCCTAATCAGATAAACAAAGGTGTCAAGTATTAAATGTAAATATTTCTCAATTTAAACACGCTGAAAATAATTAGCCCATGAAAAGGTCCCCCCCCCCCCCCCCCCCCCATCCATCATTCTAAAGTATGTTTGGCGGTGCGTGGTGTACAAGAAGCCGCTGGTATGCAGGTGTCCCTTTCAGGTGAGCTTCTCTCCATATTTCCAGAGCAATACATGTCCCGATATGACGTCTTGGCTGGACCCCATGAACTGTGGGGTTTTAATGACTTCACAAGTCTCTGTAAAGTAAATCGGGGAAAATACAGACAAATCCTCCCAATGTATACAAGCATTGTTTATCATGTTAAGAATTTCTTGGAGTAAACAACTCAAAACTACTCGCTGTTTTGTTTCGTTGAGCAGAACGATTATTGTTTGTTTGTTTGTTTAACGCCGCACTCAGCAAAATTCATACTATATGACGGCGGTATGTAAATAATCGAGTCTGGACCAGACAATCCAGTGATTGAAATGATGAAAATCGATCCGCGCAACTGGGATACGATGACATGCATCAACCAAGTCAGCGAGCCTGACCACCCGATCCCGATAGTCGCCTTTTGAGACAAGCATGGGTCGCTGAAGACCTATTCTACCCCGGATCTTCAGGGCTGAACGATTAAGTACATGTGCTTCAAAATTAGTTAATATTTTCTAATCCGAAGGAGTGGCTATTAATTTAATCTCAACACAAATACAATTACAAGTGGCTTCCCTAGTTAATCTTTGCATGCAATTTGTATGTTAATTGTCATAATTATTCTTCATTTGCTTCATATTATCAATCACATTTGTCCTTAACACACAGAGACACTTCAAGTCACATTGTATAAAATTCCCCAAAATTTCAGTCAGACAACCGGACTGGCAATTTTGCAAAGTTACCAGACAGATTAAAATGTTACCAGTCCAGAATGCTTCAGACTAACAAACAAAAGGGTAACCACAAGAAAAGTACTGTAAATGGCTCCTCAATCTCATTAAAATCAGATCTTAGTTCTCGCTACCGCTAAACAAAGCGGTAGCGAGAACTAAGATCTGATTTTAATGAGATTGAATGGCTCCTACAAGACATATCGCAAGGGTGAGATCAAGCGATATCTACATTGTAGATATCGCTGCAATGAAATTGCATAACAATGCTTTGCAGATCATTGTGACGTCATTTGTTACCATGACGTCACAATCAAATGACACCACGAATGGCTCTTCTCCTGAGCTGTTAGCAGTACTTTTTACACTAAAGACACTGGTTATTACTGTCTACATACTGAAAAAGTTGGAAGAATGATGTTGGATGATAAATAGAATCTTACCCTAGTGTCTTTTGATATCAAATATATCAACATTCGTTGATGAAAGTGGAAAATCTCCTCGGCAAGCCTCGGAGTCTTTCCACTTTTATCAACTCGTGTTGATATATTTGATATCAAAAGACACTCGGGTGAGATTCTCTATTTCTCAGAAAATAACAATAAACTGGTAGATTGTCAACTTAGTAACTTTAACTCATTGAAATTTAATCATCAATAATGTGTTTAACGTTTACAGTTAATTCATGTGTTACATTGAATTAAAACTAGATGTTTAGGTAATTTAGGGAATACAATAATTGCCTAACCATCTGGCGTGCATCGTTTCAAAACTGACCGTATGTCAGCAAAAAAGACTGACTCGGACTGACGGGCAGACGGGTATTTTAAACATTGCTAGTTATGAAATTAAAAGTTTCTTTTCTTAAACATCTTAATTAGTGTACAGTCAAGTCTCGTTAATCCGACACTCGGCTTTATCCGACACAAATGATGGGAACCGATTGATTCAGTGCTATTTAGTCCCGTTAATCCGACATTCTCGCACTCCGACTCCGACACACCTAATTTGCAACGAATTGCCGAAATCACTCATTAATCAGTCTCGTTAATCCGACACAGTGATCAGCGTACTCCGTGGTCATCTGCCCGTATGTACAAACCTGTATGTACAAAGCTATACAAATGTAGTTTACAAATTGAAGCCAGATAAATGTGCATGAAGCCAGTTTAAAATACGAACAGGTATATAAAACATGGTCGACTCACCATGGTCGACTGGTATGTAAACAAGAATGCATGGATGACTTCATTAATATTCAAAGCCTAGCTACTGATCTTGGATCGGCAAATGCGATTGGAGCAACCCCACGTGGTATTGCTGTTGGACAACGCCCCATCCCATGCTACTGTCGACATAACTAATGTGAAATGTCACTTTTTGCCACCAAACACCACATCGCACATTCAGCCACTAGATGCCGGGATCATAAAGAATTTCAAGCTTTATTATAAGAAACAGCAAATGAAATTACACCTCGACAATGTTGATGCTGAAGAACCACAAGCCCTAGACGTATAGGGAAAATCATATATGTGTTTCACAAATGATTCATCAGAACACCTATGACATTTACACAGAGAAGAGTATTCTGCAATCAAACAGGATGATGTGGCTTACTATTCTTGATATAAAGTCTCTTTTTTTGGTATCTCAATAACATGGAGGATATACTGTAAGCATTGTTTGATAAATAGACATGTACAGTAAGTGATTCCATATGATTAGATAAGCTTAATAAGCAATGTTTTGAGCGTTTGTTCAAAAATACATGGTCATTATATAGTCGAAATCATACAGTCGGTTTGCAATCTCATTAAAATCAGATCTTAGTTCTCGCTACCGCTAAACAAATCCCATTATGGGTCACGTCAGACCGAACTTGCGCGAACTTTGACCGACCAATGGAAGGACTGACAAGAAGTCGACATAGCCAATCAGAAGGCAGCTTTCTCGTGCTTTACGGCACTGATTTCAAATTGGCGACTATGCTTCGAACCATATTTTGACAAATTCTCGATTAAAAACTTGAAACTTGAATGGAATGGCTAATAGATGGTCTAGATTGTATGGATTCAGTCGTTAAAGCCGCAACTATCGTTCGGAATACCCAGTATTAAAGGTTTCGAGGTTGCAAGATTAGAAATCACATTACGACTGTCACTTTCATGACCTGGTAAGCGACGCTCTGATTGGTCCGATGAAAGGTCGTTCAGACGTGACCCGTAATGGGATGTCCTCAGATCTTTGTTTAGCGGTAGCGAGAACTAAGATATGATTTTAATGAGGTTGGTCGGTCTGTAGCTGTCATTCACTAAACCTGAACCAACATTAGGCCACGCCGACTGGCGCACTGCTGTTTCCCGATTGGCGAATAAGAAGTGGAGCAGCTGGCATTCGTGTACGGAAGCCTTTTAGGACCATTTAAAAAAAAGAATTGTCTTGAAATTTCAAAATACTAACTTGAAATTGGAAGTTGAAATTTGAAGATAAGAGGTGGAAATTTGAAGATAAAGATCTTGAAATTTAATTTGAAATTTAAAGACCATAACTTGAAATTTCAACTTAGAATCTTAAAATTCTAACTTAGTATCTTGAAATTTCAAGAATTCTTATAAAAAAACCCTGTAAGCCTTCCATACTCGTGGGTATCGTTTTCTACAGTATTTTTGTGTTACTGATTCGTTACAAGTTCGTATTGTTTTCAGTGAACCATTCATATACCTTTCAACGCTGTTTTTGCATTTCACGCCCAATGGAATCTGTTACGTCGGATAATGGAGAATGGTTATTCCCTTGCGCTGACGTTTTATATTTGTTTTATTTGTATGAATTGACTTACATTAACCTCTATAAACGGCAACAAAAATGGAAGTCAGTTGTTAATTTAATGCACCTATTGTATATACCTGCGATAAGCTCCCCTTCTCCCTGTAAATGGCCACGACCATCATTACAGCCAATGGAATGCATGGAATACTTGTTATTGTCCAGCCAATAGAGGCAGCATATCCAGGATAAACATAACTTTCATACGTCGGGGGCTTGTACTTCATCAGAGTTGAAATGAATATTGTCTGAAAAATTAAAGACGGGACATTATTTATTACATATTTTACTCGATGCTGCATTATTGCTGTATGTTATGAATCCATGGTCCATAGGTTCCACAACTTACCAGTAGAAGAACATCCCATCAAACTGTACTTCCATGAAGATCCGGGTTAAAATTGCCCTTCAGCACCCATGCTTGTCATGAGAGGCGACTAACGGGATCCGGTGGTCAGGCTCGGTGAATTGATCGATGCATATCATCGTATCCCTATTGCGTAGATTGATGCTCTTTATTCCAATCACTAGATTGTCTGGTCCAGACTCGGTTATTTGCAGACCGCAGTCATGTAGTTGGAATATTGCCGAGTGAGGCGTTACAAAGAGATGAGGAAGCGAGAAATATTTTAAGTGGTGCCGATTGATCTGGTGATTAGTTTTAGCATCCTATTTCCTATTACCACGTACATTGGCAACCGGGGGACGCTTCTGATTTCTTGGGTATATAATTAAAGCCTTGCTCTTACCAGAAGCAGTGAAGGTGTGATATAACGCCATGAGATTTTGAAGAACCACGGAGCCGGTCTCCCTATCATCAGTTCAATATCTGCGCTGAGACGATTCACTCCTGAAAGAGAAACACCCATCGTGACAACTAATATCACTGAAGATTGAGTGAGTATGGTTTTACGCCGCCTTTAGCAATATTCCAGCAATATCACGGCGCGGGACACCAGAAATGGTGAATGAGTGAGTGAGTTGGGTTTAACGCCGTTTTTTAACAATATTCCAGTCATATCAGGGCGTGTCAGCGTAATCTGGGAGGAAATTTTAAAGCCCGAACTGATGCAGGTCTCAGACGTTTACCACTTCGGTGAAACCCACGAGCACGGGTATGGAGCTGACAAACCTGGAAACATAATCGTGGCGAACCGGGATTCGACCCCACAACATAGGTTTTTGGCGAGCCCAAGGGACGCAACTCTGCACAGCGCCTTAGACGACTAGGCCACCCATGCACGTTTCTGTTTGCATGTGCATCACGTGTTGTCCATGCTGGACGTGAAATTTCATTGTGATCAGATGTTGCGTTCAGATGCAACGCCACGTTATTGTAAATGTACACCTCAACGATAGCCACATAAAATCACCAGATCCATTATTTTGTGTCGGTAGTATATAGAGGATATTGCATGTGTCGAGTTAATGAGGTGAGAGAAACATGATATTACACTCGACACATGGAATATCCCATTTATTTATACATTTTGTTTAGTTGTCTACCGGAAAATTAAGATATTTCATTGTGAAATGTAAAACCTTGAAACGTAAATTCTCGCTACCTAACACACGGGGACGGTTCCCCACCCCTTGTATTTGCGACTAAAAATGTAGTTTCGTATTTTGAAAAATCCATAAAAAATATAAACAAAAGTAACAAAAAATATTTATCTATCATACATATTGATAAGATTATATACAAAATCAACTCTAACCAAGGATATTCTTGAAAACTACGAAACTGCTGTTGGAAGGAAACACGCATGTCCAGTAACAAAAATGGCGCTTTTCGAAACGAACAGTCTCAATTGACGAGTTACATGAGAAATTTACAGTTTATAACGAAACATTTTCAAGAGAATAACGAACGACATGAGGCGATATTAACTCCATAAATTACCATCTGTCTTATTTTGCCTTGTCAATGTGGAACTAGCGTAAAAAGGAAGTCAACAGTACGGGCCGTACACTTACGATAAAGGGGGACAATTTGAGGGGAGATCACTCTTGTATGACAATAGTTCCGTCAAAGTGTTCACTGCAGTGAAAACATCACTTTTCTCAACTTCGGAAAACTCAGTCTTTCACACTAAAGTATATAAAAAAAAGTATAGTTGGATCTATATACAGTAAACTACGGTTATAACGAACTCAAAGGGACTACTAATTTTAGTTCGTTAAAACCGTAGTTCGTTATAAGCATATATACAGCATAACTACAGCATATAGTCGGGACTAAAAAGTTAGTTCGTTATATCCGTTAGTTCGTTATAAGCGTGTTCGTTATAACCGTAGTTTACTGTATCGAAATTGTGATAGCGCCATACCATATATCCATCCGAAAATGATGCACTCCAGAAAACCAGCAAAAATGATAAATATGGCAGCCAAGTACCAGTCAACCAGTTGGAACAAATACATACCACCCTGAAAACAGAAAATATTGAGTGAGTTAGTTGGGTTTAACGCCGCTTTTAACAGTATTACAGTTATATCGCGGCGTGTCAGCTTAATGTGGGAGGAAAGCCCGAAGTGATGCAGGTCTCAGACGTTTACCACTTCGGTGAAACCCACAAGCACGGGTATGGTGCTGTAAACCTAGAAACATAATCGGGGCGAACCCACAATCATAGATTTCTGGCGTGCCCAAGGGACGCAACTCTGCACAGCGAACCGCGGCGCCTTAGACGACTGGGCCACCCGTGCCCCCAGAAAATATTGAAAAAAATATTATCTATGCATTTTGAGACAATGGTATATTTCTATGCATGTATATACAAAAAGACATTATTGGCGGTGGTTGTAGTAGTAGTAGTAGTAGTAGTTTTGGCAGTAGTAGTAGTAGTAGTAGTAGTAGTAGTAGTAGTAGTTTTAGTAGACTAACATTTAGTCTCTGAAATCTTATATTACACAATATCCTTCTTGAATCTAAAAATAAAAAAAATCCCTATGCTGTGGAATAGAGCTAGCTTGAGCTGGCTAGACTTGCTTTTGTATGCATTTCTAGATTATTATTTTTTCATAAAATAAATATATTCCACGGTCATGGTGCAGGACTATAGTTTTAGCAGCAGTAGTATCTAACGCATTGTCCCAACACGACTACAAATTTTATTTACTATTTTAAGAATTGTCATGAATATTCTGTTAAAACAAATTATAAAAATAAATAAATCATTGCAAACCTCAGTGGTGAATATAATTCCCACCAGAAATGATACAGTGCAATACCCCAGATTTACAAATATTCTCCACTTCAGCAGGAAGGGATATTCGTCAAGGATGACGGCGATCACGGTTTCCACCGTTGAAAACTGCAACATCATAGATATACAGCTTCATGCAGCCTTTTGTAAACATGCTGCACATTTAACCAACATAACATAAACAATATTGGTGTATGAATGATGCACCTTTTTTTCATTCAATCACGGACCCGTGAAGTTCCGGGGTAGAATAGGTCTTCAGCATCCCATGCTTGCCGTAAACGGCGACTATGCTTGTCGTAAGAGGCGACTAACGGGATCGGGTGGTCAGACTCGCTGACTTGGCTGATGCATGTCATCGATCCCAATTGTGAGGATCGATGCTCATGGTATTAATCACTGGATTGTCTGGTCCAGACTGGATTATTTACAGACCGCCGTCATAAAGCTGAAATATGGATGAGTGCGGCGTTAAACAACAAACCAACCAACCTATCATTCGATCACGCATTTAGATACATATGTAGTTATATACATTCAGCGCTTCAGACTGTACACTGAACATAAGTTTAAGATTTAATCGAAGATGTTAATATATTGTGTACATGTTCCAAGGTCATTAGTGTTTTGAATTTATATTAAACGGCTGTCTGTAAATAACGGATCTGGACAAGACAATCCAGTCATTGACATCATGAGCATCGATCTATGCAGTTGGGATACGATGACATGCATTAACCGAGTCTGCGAGCCTGACCACCAGACACACAGACAGACAAACGGACAGTTTATTCAGTAAGAAGGCCATAGGCCCATAATACAGACAATGGTTGATGGCATGAACTACACATGCCAAGGAAGTAGTCGATTTAAGTTTCTCTTAGCCGTTGGACTTTATATAGATATAAACATGTGTTATATACAACATCAAAGTTTTCTGAAGAAATAATTTCAGAAAAAGATGTTACAGTTTGAAACTTGATAAACTGTTTAAGATACATATTTCTTAGGGCTGAATAACGCTCACATACAAGTAAAACATGAAATTCATCTTCAATAAAAGATGTACCATTTTCTATACAATATTTACATAATCGTTCAGTGTATGGGACATTTGTGTATCTCCCCAAGTCAATTGCAAGTTTAAACTTGCTACATCTGAAACGAGACATACATATTCTCAGATGTACTGGTATGGGGAGTGTAAGATATTTTTCGACATTTAACAGGGATTTAAAATATTTATAGTAAAAGGTATCAGATATACTATTGACAGAACTACACCATGATTGTTGGAGGTTAAAAACATGAATAAATATCTTCACATTGCCAACATCCTGTGCTAACCATACATATCCAAAACCTAATTTAAACAAATTATTCTTAATGTGAGTAGCCCATGTTGTGCGACCAGAATGGTCCAGTGATTTGAGCATTAAATAGCATTGGCGAGGCAGTCTGACCACCAGATCCCGTTAATCGCCTTTTACGACAAGTATGGGTTTCTGAAGATCAATTCTAACCCTGATGTTCATGGGTTTCATATATATATATATATACAAACGAGAATTAGATATTGTTCATACATAAGCATATTCATTGACATATCATAATGAAATGTATAGGTAGGGCTATAATATCAGAAAGGGAAGATGCATATTTTCCGGCAAGAATGCTACTCTCACACCTATCAGTGCCGTCTGAAGATCAATTCTAACCCGCATCTTTAAGTTAGTGCTGTTATACAGCTGGAGTATGGATGGACGCGGCGTTAAACATCCAACAAACAAAATGTGTCTCTGTGAGCGAATGGCGGCCTCACCAATGAATCCAGGACAAGAAATATCAGCATCACGAAGAACAGGAAACTCCACAGTTGTGGAACCGGAAGTTGTGCCAAGGCTTCTGGGTAAGTGACGAAGCCTAATCCGGGGCCTGGAACATAAAACGTCAATGGACAGCACGGGCAGCACACGAGACACTTAAATACTGGGAGGTGAGGTGAAATGGGGTTTAACGTCGCGTCCAAGATTATTGCACTTATATAGCGACGTGCATGCACGTGTGTGTGTGGCTGCTTGTACTAGTCCGGACTGATGCCGATTTGTAGTTCTAGCCCACTGAGATACTATGCCGCAGTTTAACATGAATGCCCCACACAGACACAGTATACTGACTCCGAGCCGACCAGTCCTTGTTTTAGCCCCTTAATGCCGAGCGCCAGACATGGTAACAACAAGTACAATCTTTTAACGTCTTTTGGTATGACGCGGCCCGGGATCGAACCCTGGACCTTCCGCTCTCCGGGCGGACGATCTACCACTGGACCACGGAGGCGGTCCTTTAAAACTGGGTGTTAATGGTGTCGAGTTCGCTGTATAAGTGCAATAATCTTGGACGCGACGTTAAACCCCATTTCACCTCACCTCACTGTTGTTGACAAAACATTAGAAATGCATAGGTACACTGTGCATGCATCTCAAAACTTGCTGTAATATTGACTTAATTTAACACACTAACACACACACACTAACACACACACACGCAAGCTGGACGCGACGTTAAACCCCATTTCACCTCACCTCACCTTATAAAAGCTATACATACCTGAGGACGAAACTGCGGTGATGGGCACATCTGCTTCATGGGCCATGAATCCGAGAATGGAGAAGATGACCAACCCAGCAAGTAAGCTTGTCCCTCCACACACGCATGCGCAGATGACCGCATTTCTTTCGAGAAGGTAAAATATAAATTGTGAATGTAAGATAATAACCAGAATAGATTTTCTGCCGAAACTGATTCCACTTGGCGTAAAGGGCAAATACCTTCTGGAAATTATAGGAATCGACCAATGAGTGAGTGAGTGAGTGAGTGAGTGAGTTGGGGTTTAACGCCGCTTTTAACAGTATTACAGTTATATCGCGGCGTGTCAGCTTAATGTGGGAGGAAAGCCCGAAGTGATACAGGTCTCAGACGTTTACCACTTCGGTGAAACCCACGAGCACGGGTATGGTGCTGAGAAACCTAGAAACATAATCGGGGCGAACCGGGATTCGAACCCACAATCATAGGTTTCTGGCGTGACCAAGGGACGCAATTCTGCACAGCGAATCGCGGCGCCTTAGACGACTGGGCCCCCCGTGCCCCCCGAATGGACCAATGAATATCAGTGATGACACCAGGTGTTCGCGAAAAGGGTAAGCATGTCCTCCTCTACCGGTAACACCCGTCATTCATGCAATTTGCATAAAAAAATATATATTGCGTAACGCAGTACAGCATTACTCATGCCATGCGACGTCAGCCTGTAAACAAACCGGATTATCAAGTGATCGATGAACCAGAGAATCCAGTGACCTGAGAGTACTATTACTGATTTTGTTGAAACTAAATGTAATACAAACGGGATGTTAATTTTGGTTCTTGTTTTTGTTTTGTTTTACGCCGCACTCAGCAACATTCCAGCTATATGACGGCGGTCTGTAAAAATTCGAGTCTGGACCAGACAACCCAGTGATTGACATCATGAACATATATCCACACAATTGGGTTCGATGACATTCATCAACCAAGTCAGCGAGCCTGACCACCCGATCCCGTTAGTCGCCTCTTACGACAAGCATAGTCGCCTTTTACGACAAGCATAGTCGCCATTTACGACAAGCATAGTCGCCTTTTACGACAAGCATAGTCACCTTTTACGACAAGCATAGTCGCCTTTTACGACAAGCATAGTCGCCTTTTACGGCAAGCCTCCTTATTCTACCCCGGATCTTCACGGGTGCTATGGAAGGATATATGATGTTAATTCATCATGACATGTGCTATGTTCCCCGACACAGGTGCTATGGAAGGATATATGATGTTAATGTATCATGACATGTGATGTGTTACCCGACACAGGTGCTATGGAAGGATATATGATGTAAATGCATCATGACATGTCATGTGTTACCTGAGACAGTTGCTATGGAAGGATATATGATGTTAAAGCATCATGACATGTGATGTGTTACCTGAGACAGTTGCTATGGAAGGACATATGATGTTAATGTATCATGACATGTTATGTGTTACCTGAGACAGTTGCTATGATGTTAATGCATCATGACATGTCATGTGTTACCTGAGACAGTTGCTATGGAAGGTATTGTAGCTTGCCATTGTAATTATGCTTCCGAACGCTGGGCCAAGAGAGTATAACACCTGCACACAGGCACCAAGCCATACCTACAAGTGATGATGAGCACGGCAATGTAGTGTTCATATATACCATGTCATGTCACAATTACGTGTACCAATGCAAGATATCAAGAAAGTGCGCAATTACTTTTTTGTTGTTGTTTAACGCCGCACTCAGCAATATTCCAGCCATATGACGTCGGTCTGTAAATAATCGAGTCTCGACCGGACAATCCAGTGATTTACATCATGAGCATCGATCCACGCAATTGGAATACGATGACGATGTTTCAACCAAGTCAGCGGGCCTGACCACCCGATCCCGTTAGTCGCCCTTTACGACAAGCATAGTCGCCTTTTACGGCAAGTATGGGTTGTTGAACACCTATTTTACCCCGGATCTTCACGGGTCGTGTCATCACAAGTGTACTTGCCCTGGCATTGCCGAACGATCGATAACTGATGCTTATCAAACAGATATACGCATTCACATTGTCGCACCCATTTAAAATGTGTATGCGTGTACGTTTGGTACATACAAGGTACATAATGTCTTCCTTTCAATATTTTTCATTGTACAGTATGCGTTTTGTCATCTACCTGTATGTCCAGTAATTTGCTGAAATCTGGGGTCAGGTAGAACAGAGCACCATCAGGTCCACCCGGCAAGGTCAGACCACGGACAAGCAGGATGAAGAGGAAAATATAGGGAAGTGTCGCCGTCACATAAACAACCTACAATAAAATAATGTCAACCATTTTCTTGTTGAGACCGCCTCCGTGGTCTAGTTTTAGAGCGTCCGCCCGGAGAGCGGAAGATCCTGGTTCGATCCCCGGCCGCATAATACCAAAAGACGTTGAAAGATGGCACTTGTTGTTACCCTGTCTGCTGCTCGGCATTGAGGGGCTAACACAAGGACTTGTGGGCTTGGAGTCAGTATACTGTGTCTAAGTGGAGTTTTCATGCGGCATAGTATCTCAGTATACGGAAGTGTTGCTGCCATGTAAACAGCCTATGGTACGATAATGTTGATTAGAATTATAATCCCACCTTTATTATTGGGCACATCAACAGGTAAGTGTCATGACTCCATGCACCTATAATAATAAGGGGCGGTAGGGTAGCCTAGTGGTTAAAGCGTTCGCTCGTCACGCCGAAGACCCGGGTTCGATTTCCGACACGGGTACAATGTGTGAAGCCCATTTCTGGTGTCCCCCGCCGTGATATTGCCGGAATATTGCTAAAAGCGGTGTGAAACCATACTCACTCACTCACTTATATTAATAAAGTAGGACATAAGATTATTAAAAACAAGTTTCTTAAATAGTTTCAGGTGATATTGGACTGGGCTGTGTCGCTCATTTTTGGAAAGACAAACTACTAATATTTCATGGAAAAGTGTGTTTATTCAGTATCAAAATTTCCAGTGTAAATACTTTATACAAATAAGGAATTATATGCGATGAAATTGGTGGATTGTGAACTATGTTCGTTATGTAAAACATCCAAAGAAAACTTAACACATGTTAAATTAGAACGTGAGGCCACTAACGACTTTTGGGATAAGCTAGATGACCAATTACATCAGTTTCTTGCAAACATGACGCACTTCAACAGACATTCCATATTGTTAGGTTTCCATGATAGAATAGCACTAATAGCTTAGAAACACAACCATGTAACACTCTATACCATTAGAGGAATAGACTCATCAGTTGAAGAACTGTATTGCATCCATTTCAAAGATAGAAAAGACCCAAAGAATATTAAGGAATATGTATCCCAGTTTTGTTAAGAACTTTTTGTTTGTTTGTTTGTTGTTTGAAGCCGCACTCAGCAATATTCCAACTATCTGACGGCGATCCAGACATCATGAGCATCGATCCACGCAACTGAGATACGATAACATGCATCAACCAAGTCAGCGAGTCTGACCACCCGATCCCGCTAGTTGCCTCTTACGACAAGCATAGTCGCCTTTTACGGCAATCATGGGTTGCTGAAGACCTATTCTAACGCGGATGATGTCAGTCACTGGATTGTCTGGTCCAGACTCGATTATTTTCAGACCGCCGTCATATAGCTGGAATATTACGTTAAACAAACAAAACAAAACAAGACAAAACCAATATTTGTTGAAGCAATTTGACACTACTGTACAATAATCTGTACATGCACCTCTTGGGGACTAACATTATGTAGAATTTCATTTAAACAACCCACACATTTGAATCAATGCTTTGTGGTATGTAATCAAAGGTTTTGAAACAATATATGTAAATATTTATCTTTACAGAAAATAGATTTAGCTCACCTTGCCGACTGACCGGACACCTTTCACAATACATCCGAAAATCAGAAGCCACGAGGCGAAGAGACACAGAACCAGTTCCCATCTGATGCTTCCCAGTTGTTCCAGGCCGGAGCTGATGCCGAGAACCTTATATCTAAATACGAATCAGTCAGGGAATGTACTGACCCCGAGGACGCAAGGTGACCTAAAGCGTTGGTTGGTTGGTTGGTTGGTTTGTTGTTTAACGCCGCACTCAATATTCCAACTATATGACGGCGGTCTGTAAATAATCGAGTCTGGACCAGACAATCCAGTGATTGGCATCGTGAATATCGATCCACGCAACTGGGATACGATGACATGCATCAACCAAGTCAACGAGCCTGACCACCCGATCCCGTGAACCTGGACCAGACAATCCAGTGATTGATATCATGAGACCTAAAGCGTATGTTAATAGCAATATGCTGGTCGTAACGCGGTAAATGAAGAAAAGGTAAATCATGAACTATCATTAAACGAATTTAAAACAAAACAAAACAGCAGTAGCCCATGATCAAATACATAATTTTAAAACTTAGTGACTAGGTGAATATGTGACAGCATTGTGACGCAATAATATCATTTATTGAACTATTGCAAATGGATATTTACGATCGCCACCATTTTCAGAGAACAGGACCAGCAGCCATGGAAACGAAACAAAAAAGCTCAAAACGAACTTGGTGTCAGCCACGTCTAGAAGTGTGAATGTGAGGCCACATTTTATTTTTAATGTCATTTCTAATAAAAAGAAAACAATGGTACATTTTCACTTGCGCATAAAACATTAGTGTGTGTGCTGCGTGAAGACCACATGTTTCTATGGTTAAACTTGTATTACACTTCAATTGTTTAAATAGCAAATAATATCGTTTTAACCCTGGCAGTCTGAGATAGGATTTTCAATCATATCAAAGGGATCGGAAATATCATTAGGTGAACGTGTTAAAGTCACTTTTTATTTCAACAAAACATTTGAAGTATCAAAGAGGCAATCGATATGCGTGCATTGGTTTCCACAAACAAACCAGTCATATATTACCATGTGCAATGAACGCTCGATATATCACCCAAAGCATGTCACTCAAAGTCATGTACTTTACATACATGTAGGTGACTACCTACTGCCAGAATTCTTCAGACGCTGTGTGGCTCAGCGTTGAATTACCCCATCCCCTACCAGCAACGTCTATTGTCCTGTTGTCAGGTGAGAGTGTTGCGTTGACCATGGATCCTCTGAGTGTTGACGAAGTGCTGACTGAATGTGAACAAGTAGTTCCTCGTTATATACAAACTTAATGAAAGGTTATTACACGTTAAAACGTAGATGTTTATCTCATGTAGATTCACGAACAAACCTGGAAGTGTATTGGCCATTACATCCAGAAATGGACAAGTAATATTCTCGAAAACTGCCCTCCAAACCAAAAGTATTTTGATCAGTCAGCCCATGTGACATCCATAAATTCTCTTCCTTAATACATACCTGTCAATGATTTTACGTTTTGGACACATTGTTCCGAGTTCCAGGCGTTTCCACAGTGTGTCCAGGGCAGGACGGTTCTACAGGAGGAGGCGGCATAGTAAAGGGTCCAGGCACAGAGCGTAGTGCCGTACACTGCAACCACACTGCACATGATCAACATGCCAAACCCAAGACCTGGAAACACATTGCATGGATGTAAAGGAGTGAGTGAGTTGGGTTTAACGCCGCTTTTAACAGTATTACAGTTCGCGGCGTGTCAGCTTAATGTGGGAGGAAAGCCCGAAGTGATGCAGGTCTCAGACGTTTACTACTTCGGTGAAACCCACGAGCACGGGTATGGTGCTGACAAACCTAGAAACATAATCGGGGCGAACCGCGATTCGAACCCACAATTATAGGTTTCTGGCGTGCCCAAGGGACGCAACTCTGCACAGCGAATCGCGGCGCCTCAGACGACTGGGCCACCCGTGCCCCTGGATGTAAAAGATCTAACCGTATATGGTTATAACAGCATTTTGTGTGTGACATGTTACTTGTTTTTATAAACCTCGAAATGTGGGTAGGACATACTATATGATGTTTGACACACACTTTCTAACCAAGAACCATATCAACATGTCAGTGTCTATTTATATATATTTTACTAAATGTATACAACTGTACTTATTTGTTCCAATGTTAAAATGATTTAAGGTTTGATTGTCCGTTTGTTGCTTAACGCCGCACTCAGTAGTATTTCAGCTATATGACGGCGGTCTGTAAATAATCCAGGTTGGACGAGACAATCCAGTGATGGATATCATGAGCATCGACCCATGCAGTTAGGATACGATGACTGGCATCAACCAAGTCAGCGAGCCTGACCACCCGATCCCGTTTGTCGCCTCTTACGACAAGCATGGGTTTCAGCAACGTATTCTAATGTGATTTTTTGTTTAAGGACATTATGACCTGTTATACAATAGCAACTCAATCTCATTAAAATCAGATCTTAGTTCTCTCTATCGCTGAACAAAGATCTGAGGACACCCCATTACGGGTCACGTCAGAACGACCTTTCATCCAACCAATCAGAGCGTCGCTTACCAGATCGTGAAAGTGACAGACGGAATGTGTTTTCTAATCATGCAACCTCGAAATATTTAACAGAGGGTATTCCGAACGACAGTTACGGGATTTATGATTATATCCATACAATCTAGGCCATATGTAGGCCATTCCAGTATGTTCTTTTTAACAGTTTTAAATTTTTTAATCGAGAAGACGTCAAAATATGTTTCGAAGCGTAGTCGCCTGTTTGAAACTAGCGTCGTAAAGCTCGAGAAAGCTGCCTTCTGATTGGCCAATGTCGATTTCTTGTCAGTCATTTCATTGAACGGTCAAAGTTCGCGAAAGGTCGTTCTGACGTGACTCGTAATTGGATGTCCTCAGATCTGCGGTAGCGAGAACTAAGATCTGATTTTAATGAGATTGGTCGGTCTGTAGCTGTCATTCACTAAACCTGAACCAACATTAGGCCACGCCTACTAGCGAACTACAGTTTCCCGATTGGCGAATAAGAAGTGGAGCAGCTGGCGCTCGTGTACGGAAGCCTTTTAGGGCCATTTTTTTTACAAATTTGTCTTGAAATTTGAAATTTCAAGATAAGAGGTTGAAATTTCAAGATAAAGATCTTGAAATTTCAAGATAATAATTTGAAATTTTAAGATCATAACTTGAAATTTCAACTTAGTATCTTAAAATTTTAAATTAGCATCTTGAAATTTCAAGAATTAAAAAAAACCCAAACAAACCAAACAAACCAAATCGCCCTGTAAGCCTTCCATACTCGTGTGTATCGTTTCCTACAGTATTTTTGTGTTACTGATTCGTTAAAAGTTCGTATTGTTTTCAGTTTTCACGGAAGCCTTTTAGGGCCATTTTAAAAAAAAATACTAAAAAGGATACTAAGTTGAAATTGAAAGTTGTTTAGAGGTAGCGAAAACTAAGATCTGATTTTAATGAGATTAATAGCAACGTATTATGCTGTCAGCGGGAAGGAATGCTATGATCAACATGAACAGTGTTTTTTATACGGAAGGATATGCAGTCGGAAATTAGTAGCCTACCTTTCATTATAGGGCACACAATCCATACATGACCTGCGCTTTTCCCGCAAAATTGGCCAATGGCAACTTCCAGAGAGACAGGGCGGTCGGGTAGCCTAGTGGTTAAAGCGTTCGCTCGTCACGCCGAAGACCCGGGTTCGATTCCCGACATGGGTACAATGTGTGAAGCCCATTTCTGGTGTCCCCCGCAGTGATATTGCTGGAATATTGCTAAAAGCGGCGTAAAACCATACTCACTCACTCACTCCAGAGAGACAAGTGGTAGGCCACATAACGCGAGACAGAGGATGTAAGGAATGACAAACGCACCTTGATGACATAAAGAAGTAAATGACATATATATGTGTATAATAAATCAAGTCTTTGAATGGCATCTAGAAGTGATACACATAAAGAGGGAATTTATGGATGTCAACTTCTTTATTATGAGGAACACAACGTTTCGGAGTATATCATTACTCCTTCATCAGGTGAATAAGGGGCGGTCGGGTAGCCTAGTGGTTAAAGCGTTCGCTCGTCACGCCGAAGACCTGGGTTCGATTCCCGACATGGGTACAATGTGTGAAGCCGTGATATTGCTGGAATATTGCTAAAAGCGGCGTAAAACCATACTCACTCACTCAGGTGAATAAATGCTATGAAGCAGAGAACATAAATAAATAAGAGAAACCAGTAGTAAGTACATGTACTTTATAAAGTCAATTACCATGTATCTATAGAGAGGATTGGCTTGTTATGAAATGATGGAGATGTCGCAAACACGTGCCGGAAGTGAATTTTGACAAAACCTCAAAACTCCAATGTACATGTTATACTTTGACTAAATCCTTAGAAAGGGCGTTGGACCTGTATCAAATATTTCGGATTGTCAATTACCATGTATCTATAGAGAAGATTGGCCTGGTATGAAATGACGGAGATGTCGCAAACACGTGCCGGAAGTGAATTTTGACAAAACCTCAAAATCCCAATGACATGTTATAATCCCCAAAAATAACACACAGGAATTACCTCCACCGTTTTCACTGCAGATGTATGGGAAACGCAACACGTTTGACAGGCCAACAGAATAGCCAATTCCAGACAACACGAATTCCATTTGTGAACTCCAGTTTGCTCTCAGTTTTGTCTTTCCGTCCTCTGGAGAATGCCTGCTCTCGGTTAACCCTGGCATGGGAACCAATTCAATTGCTTGATCAATTTCCTCTCCATGATCGTCCATCTCTTCAAACACGTAACAATGAAAGTCTGTGCAATGTAACACCAAGGCTCGTTAATACATTAGGGAAGAGAATATATGGATGTCAACTTTTTTAATATGAGGAACACAACGTTTCGGAATATATGTTTACTCCTTCATCAGGCTGGTTGGCTTGTTGTTTAACGCCGCACTCAGCAATATTCCAGCTATATGACGGCGGTCTGTAAATAATCGAGTCCGGACCAGACAATCCAGTGATTAATATCACGAGCATCGATCCACGCAATTGCGATTGATGACATGCATCAACCAAGTCAGCGAGCCTGATTACCCGATCCCGTTAGTCGCCTTTTACGACAAGCATAGTCACCTTTTACGGCAAGTATGGGTTGTTGAAGACGTATTCTATCCCGGAATCTTCACGAGTCCCTTCATCAGGTGAATGAATGCCTTACTTACTTACTTATATTGGAGATTTTACGTGCGCTTCCCGACTGCAGCGTATTTCGCACACGGGCCCGGCCAAGCCATTTAATGTGTTTCCGAAAAGGGGAAAAAGTTGTTATGCAATCCAGTAGGGGTGTTTTAGTGGTTGCTTATTTAGAATTTTGGAAATTTTGAAATTTTGAAAAAATGCCAAGAGGGTTTGGGGAACGAACTAAGGGACCTGAGTATGGAAGTTTGTTAGTTTGATTATGTGGTCTGGTTTTGGTAGTTTATTGGGGTTTTAAATGCGATTTATTAGTCCTGTTTTGATTAAGTATATGCCTAAGGCTTTGAATTTTTCTATTTTATTTTGTGGGTTTAGGATTGCTTCTAGAGTAAGAGCCTTATTTAGATTTAGGGTGGTTCGTAGTGTAGTTCGGTGTGTTAGGTAGTGGGTGCAGTGTATGAGTGCGTGTTCTGGGGTTTCTTGTTGTTTGCAATGTGGGCAGGTTCCTGTTGCGTGTTTTCTTATTATTTTGAGGTGGTTATTTAGGTTGGTATGTCCTGTTTGGAGTTTAGTAATTACTCTGTCGATTTTTTGGGGCGGATGTAGAATTTTTGGTTTGGTTAGGGTTTTTTTGAGAACATTTTTGATTTGGCCATTTGAGTTTTGATATAGGTTATGCCATTTTTTGGTGATTTTTTGTTTGTTAACACTTTTAATTTCTGATTTGGAGATGGGTGAATGAATGCCATGAGGCAGGAAGCATATATATGTACATGTAAGGACAACAAAATTAATAAGATAACAAAAGGTGGAAAATAACAAAAGGTAGAAACTAACAAGGGTGCCAATCACCGAGCTGGCTTCCATTTGACCTTTGCTGTGTCCATTCTTTCACCTATCAGTGCTAATTACCCCCCCCCCCCCCCCCCCCCGGCCTCCCATTTGCCCAGTGTCCATTACCAATAACTCATCTATGATACTTATAAGTACTGGGGGGGGGGCACGGGTGGCCCAGTCGTCTAAGGCGCCGCGATTCGCTGTGCAGAGTTGCGTCGCTTAGGCACGCCAGAAACCTATGATTGTGGGGTCGAATCCCGGTTCGCCCCGATTATGTTTCTAGGTTTGTCAGCACCATACCCGTGCTCGTGGGTTTCACCGAAGTGATAAACGTCTGAGACCTGCATCACTTCGGGCTTTCCTCCCACATTAAGCTGACACGCCGCGATATAACTGGAATACTGTTAAAAGCGGCGTTAAACCCAACTCACTCACTATAAGTACTGGCTTCCGTACTTTCAACACTAATTACTGTAAAGTGTTGGCTTCCCTTGTTTATCACCTTTCACTGCTATCAGCGGCAATCATCTGTTGCCTTCCCTTGTTCGGTTCTACCCTTTGTTATTTTCCACCTTTTGTTAGCGACGTTTC